TGTACCTACTATCATTGAAAAATTTAAAAATAGACGAGAATTGGCAAAGTTATAGCGTAATTTAAAAAAATACAGTCGACACGAGAAGCTCCTGCTTTCTCCTCCTTTATGAAGTCTGTTGCACAATGCAAACTATCTCGCGTTGTAAACAATGTGGCTATTCATAGCATGTAACCTATTAGTATTTTTTAAGTTTACTAATATTTTATAGAACTTTAACAGCATAAAACTTATAGCGTTATGGCCCATATAATTTCATAATTGAATGAATTTTAGCTATAAAAGATGCAAGCGCATTGCAGCTTGAAGTTCCCAAAGGACTGTGGCCTTCGTGATATTGAAAAATGATCTTTACGGTATGGAAATAAGAGTTTTGTACAGACCCTCTATTGATCGGTTCGTGTCCGTCGTGGGTGGGAGATTAGAGCGAAATTGGGACAGAAATTGTACCTAACTTTAGTCTAGGCACGGTGGGCAATGGACGCGACCTACATGTTATGTGAAGTGAAAATAACAGTTGGCAGAACAAAATGTTACATATTAAGATAATTACGCTTCTCCACCTAACCTTCCTCATGAAATTAGAAATAGCCCAAGCATTGGGATTTTCAAATCACGTCTGAAGAACCTCTCACAATGCTGATGTACGGACTTATTATATTTGTGTATTATATATAATATATATCTATCTATTTATATGTATTTACTTATATATATATTTTTATTTATTTATTTTTAACTATAACATTTAAGTCGATTGGTACACATGTATGACTGTAACTACGAGTATTAATGAACTGTCAGTTTTCTCATATTGGGTTTGCTGGAAGAAATCTCTATTGGAAATAAGCTCGCTTTTGTGTACAATAAAGAATAAAGAATAACCTAGATAGTAGGGGAGGAGGGGATTATTAGTAATGACAGTAAACCTATTATCATTAAGTTGACCTTCCATGGGCATATTTTAGATATCATCATCATCTTCATCTCAGACGTTAACTGTCCACTGTTGAACATAAGGAGCGTTTTACCAATAGTTGCCACGCTTTGCAGGCGGCTTCGCAACCGCAGTCAGGCTTTGGTGATGTTTTAAGAGGGACGCTGTTGCCCAACCCTCGACTATTAACTTCCTTTAGTCGCCTCTTACGACACTTACGGAAAGAAAGGGATATCTTGGAAAATGTCTGGTAAATTCATTACTATCAGCCAATTGCCTAATTTCATCCTCAACTATCACCTTTCAATAGTTCCCTGCTAACAGAAGGCATATTTTTTTTTGGATGATAATGGAATGGTAACCTCGCCTGCGCTATCGGTATACACTGCGGGGTACCAGTGACAGATGAGCATGAAAGCAGGTCAGTTAGCCCATCGTGACGAATGCAACAAGTGTTAGTATAAGTAAGAGATAGGCCGGCAGCACCTGATGTTGCCGGTGTCAACGGGCGGCGGTAATCGCCATCATCTGAGCCGTATGCATTTTATCCTCTGTGTTTAAGTAAAAGAAAGAGGAGAAACCACGTCGGTCGAGAGGTTTAGTATATTAGTGTTATTTTAAGTTTAATTTCTCTTGTTTATCCTATAAAAACAAAAGAAATTACGATATGTATGTATGCACATAGGTAAATGTTTTAAACACAACAAAAAAATAATGATTTAACAGATACGTTTAAATGAGTAGGCATGGGATGATGTTAATGAGAGAATTATGTTTAAGTAAATAGTTTTGTTAAAAAAAAAATTGTATGCAGTTTATTAAAAGCCCGTCCCTTCAATTTCATTAGCGGTAATATGACCTCATCCAAACACAGGAAATCGTTACTGGACTGCATTTAATAAACTAAGTGTTAATAGTGCGTCAGTCTGCACCACTGCACAGTCACGACTCTCAACGGCAGGAAGTCGGGAGACAGAATGTCGATAACTAAATTGAACTTTTTTCAAGCCACTTCAAGAGATGGTTCCTTATTCGCCTTTATATTTTAATATTTAATATTTTATTGTACACACCAATTATACCAAAGGAAACACTAGGTGTCATGTCGTATAGGGAGATCAAGGATATGGCCTGGGATAGAGCTGGCTGAAAGAGATGCATGAATTAGTTGCACCGACAAGAGGAAACTCTTAAATGAAAAGAAGACCAATTATACATAAAAACCAAAAGTAACCAAATGTACAAAGGCGAGTTTAGCACTAAAAGAGTTTTCTTCCAGCAAATCCAAAGTGAAAAGGAGTTACAAAGTCAACGGGTAGAGCGGTGTACAATATTGTAACAATTTGTATGTGTACGTCATGCAATATCTTAGACAATTCTGGACAGATAGTAATTTCGCAATCGCAGTGTTTACTTTCATATTAATTTTGTCACATTTGCAGCCACTGATTCTTTCCAGAATTTATGAATTATCATTTCAGCCATTATCCGTACATTGCTGGATATAGGCCTCCTCCATAGACTACCATAATGAACGGTCCTGAGCCACGGACTCCCTGCAATAAATTCAGAATTTATATAGCATTTATAATATATTTATTTATGTTATACAAATTTAAGTACAAAATTTAATTTTTTAAAACACTTAATTTTCTTTTTCTATTCATTCAACATGTACAAACATTTACGATGTCATTTTATTCATTTTTACATCTATAAAGAATGGAAATTAGAGTTTTCGGAACTATATAATCGCAGTTGATAGCTAAATTATCAAAATATATTATATTTATGGTATTAAATCTGTGTTACAAATTATAAATATATAATAGTAAAAAATATTATTGTTAGTAATGGGGTCAAATTGCCCCATTGCTAGCAATACACCCTATCAGGTCGACCTCCACGCGGTTTCCCCTGGAAACTATCGTAGTTAATTCTAATTGAATTCGTCATGATTAGCTAATTGACCTGTTTTCATTGCCACCTATCATCCCTCACTGCTGCCTTGCTAGCGTATACCGATAACGCAGGTGGGGTTACCATTTCATTATCACCCATTAAAAAAAATTATGTGTGTATTCTTCATACATATATAGGTACTGATGTTTTGTGGACGTTAACGAAACTTAAGATCGATAACCCCACTAGTCGGTTCCTGTAATATCGATAACCTCGATCAACATCACTATGTTTGTACACAATTGTTATTACATTGCCTTTATCAACAATAACGCGGTGCCTAGCGCACGTGCACGTGCGCCGGCGCAATCCGGCCTGTAATGTAAAGATCACCTGGCCTTTTATAATAATTACCTACGGATATTGTTATAATCATAAAATGACAGTACCGGTGGCGGATTTTGCAGCAAGCTGAGTAGGCTGACTGGGTTTTAGAGTTGGCGATTTTTTTATAATCATAAAATTGAATTTCATTGACAAAATATTATCAATAGCCTACTTTCAGCAAACAAGTATATGCCCCACTGCTTAGAAACTATGCATGTACCAAAACTATTATATATTTTTATGCAATTAAATATACTTATGAGTAATAATGTAGATTCAAAAAATAAATAAAGCTCTTCAGTTAAAATAAGAATTTTCAAAACCGGCACATAATGTACAAAGTTATATGTACATACAAAGAAATACAGTCAAATAAGGAACCTTCTCCTTACTATTTAACTAAAAAAAATCTAAACTATACTACATTATCAACATGTAAAACTTAGAATATGATAAACAGTTTAGTATTCTTACTTAATATTGTAAATGTGAAAATAAGTTTGTTTACTCTCAGCGCTTAACTAATCATTATGAAATTTGGTATACCACTAAATTGGATGGAGAAAAACGGGCTTTCTACATGCAATTTAGTGGTATAGACTTCTATCTCGGTTACTGGTCATATCCCCGTTACGCAAATGAAGCCACGGATTAAAACTAGTAAGTAATACGTATGAAAATTCATCCCTCTATTTTTACCTTAGTTTCACCGATTTTTATTCCTTACTAGCCCTGCAGTAATCTTTTTTGAGTGATTTTAATAATGACATTCTCGTTTTACCAGTCTGTGTCTGTCAGAAACAACACAACTCAATTTCCCGCCAATTCAGTTTCGTTTGTTTCCCGTTCCGTTATATGCAAAATGTATTGTTTGTACTTTAAATAGCTTTTATAAAACTAATAGAACAATAGACGTCCGTTGTCCATGGCATGATTAATGCATACTCGACCTAAAAGTTTCCGTTTGTTTTAGGTTTTATACTATAAAACCTAAATATAGACCGGTATTTATGCTTACTATAATTACGTAGACAATGAAGAATTAATTGCAGTTTTGTTTTGCAACTTGAAATGGAAAATGAATTGTAGGTATTTTATAGAAAATGGTAACCGAGGCTTTTATACATGAATGACGCCATGGGTATTACAGAGCACAATCTGACGCTCATGACATCTCTCATGTGCTATTATTCCTGAGGACAAAAATGTTATAACCGTGCCCAGTAATTTCACTACCGTATCCCGTCCTTTAAATAGAAACACACTCATGCAAGCAAAACTATTTAGAAACAGAAATATGAGTGGGACAAAACCAAGCAGAGGACTTTTGTGCCTACATGTCCCTCTGGTACTAATTAATTTTTAATTACTTTTGTACAAGGTCTCCCTTGGGTTAAAACAAACCTAATTGTCGTAATTCTTTTGCCTTCTAAATTTAGCTTTAGTGAAATTTAGAACTGTTCTCAAACAGCTATCTAAATAAAAAAAAAAATTAAGTATTATACTCAGTATGTAGTGAGCAAACACTGATTCATTACGTTTGGCAAATAAGCTTAATCACTCATGTGAGTGGTGAATAATTGCTTTGCTTGATTTAGTTTATCTACTTTTTTGACATGATTTCCGCGTAAAACGGAATGTTCATTTAAAATCTAAGGTTTGCTTTTAAAAAAAGATCATAAATTACATAATAAAAATAAACAGAACACCTATTTAGATGGTGTTTTATGTACAATGTCGATATAAGTTATAAACACATCATAATTCTACTGACCTATGTAAATTATGGCTCATCACCATGTTTTCTTTGGCGCTGTCTAGTGAGTGGAATCCTGAAACAATAGAGAATATATTTAAATTATAGTATACTAATAAAACAATAAAGTGGGATTTATTGCAGGCTAAAGTTAACTCCGTAGAAAAAGATAATTTAAATCGTGATAAAATTACTACTCCATTAATTTTGTCGCCCTCTGGTGACAACAGTTTATGGTTCACAGTCGACGTTCACCATAAAATGGTAATTGTAATCAGATACTTTGTTATGAACACGTGATTTACCTGCGTACATAATTATAGAAAGTGAAGCCACAAAGACCCTACACAAAGCCTTATAGATTTCATTTTGTTATGGTAAAGCAATACCATAAAAGATTGCACCTTCCATATGAAAGATGTGTGAACCCCATAAACAGTTTATACACGTACTTTCGCTTTAGAAATGTATAGTTTCAAAGACGATTACAAGATGTTAATAGCGTGGAAGCAATATGTTAGCTGTTTATAGAACTTCTTCGCTTTGTTTCATGATATATTCACCGGATCTGGAGTGCTAAAAAGTACATCTAACACGTATTATTTAACACGGATTTGCTCTGTACAACACGCCGAGTTTAATAAGCCTCTCACGCCGACAGCTTAATGTTAATATCTAGTACATTTATATCGACGGGTTATACAAAGCAAACCCTATTATGATAATTCGTGTACAGTGTGATTTTTTCAGATTATAATAACTGTTATAGTAATGAATAGCATTTACTCCAGTATGGGTCCGATCTCTTAGAAAATGTTGTTTCTTTTTTAAGGAACAATATTCTGCTTATAAACGATTTTGCGTTCTAAATTCAATTTGTTTATGAAATCTCTCGTTCAATTTAGTCTTGATCGATTCCATAATGTAAAAGTACAAGAAAAAAAATGATATCGAGTTTGAAATGAAATATATTTCACCCAAATTAATAATATTCATTAGGATTTTAATGAAATAAAACGATATCTACATGGGAACAGTAACTTCGAACATGCCGAAAACTACATTACTATTATATTTTTCTATGCTATATCATACTGACATGATATAGAGTTGTTACTTTCGCAAAATGAATTTAAATCGATTCCGTTTAATCGGAACATCGTAAATCAATCGACGGAACCAATCATTTATCATTCGTGACGTAATTGTGTCAGATGGTGCATTGTGACTGAAAAATAATATATATACACATAATTCTATATCTCATTTTCGTCTTTATTATTTGATATTTATATATTATAATATTTTTTAATAATTGCCCACTGCTGATCAATATCTACTTAAAATTATATGCTTACTATTATCAGAAACTATATATTCTACTACGTACGGGTAAACGCAGTGTAGGACGACCCCCCACAAATGGAGTGACGACCTGAAATGCGTTGCAAATGGAAATTTCGTTAAAATATTCTTTCCAATCTTTTTGAGATAAACTTTTGAATTTAGATATATTATCAGTAAAATGTTGTAATGACTGATGTTCCCTACCTTTCTCTATGCCCAGTTTAGCTAAACGATCTGCTTCTTCATTGCCCCGTAAACCAACGTGAATCCATTGCAGTATTAGATCTACTTAGGTTTAATTTATGAATGAGTTCTAAAATTTTGTAAGCAATTTTTAAATTAAGGGAGAAATCTGATAAAATTACACATTTCTTAACATTATATAGATGAGATATATATCCCAAAAGTTACGGATAATATATTAAATCTTTTAAAGTATCCAATATAAATTATGTACAATAAAGATTTTACAATACAATACAATACTTAAATGAATACATAGAGTAAGTTAGATACTTTGTACCTATACTAATTCGCTCAGAAAGTCACAGAATATTAATATTCATTTATACAGAGGGGTCAAGTCTCATAATTTGACCAATTTCGATACAAGATATAGACTTATTGCTTGCCAATTCGCCTGCCAAGCATAGCAATCACTGGCAAAACCCTCCAAAGGGTGGCTTATGTTCAGCAGTGGATAGTTAAAGACTGATATGATGACGATGATGATATAGACTTATACAATTTTTAAATTGAACTTATAGCAACTCATTTGTAAAATTTTAATATAAATTTTTCCACCACTTTCTCATGGTAATATAATAAACAATAATACAGGCAATATTATAAAACTGATATAACGATTACTTCCCCAGGTAGTTTTCACGAAAGAGTCAATGTACAGACTACTCACTCTCACATCACACTTTGAATGTTTGTTAAACTGTTTTCTTTTACTAGATTAATTCAAATCTGCTTATATAGACCACTTATTCCTAAAGTGGGTTCCGTAAAAAAGTCATCAGTGTTCCGCGAAATTATTTATACATTGAAACAATTTCATTCTTCACATTAAAAATTAAAGGAAACTATAAAGTGTTATATATTTAAAATATTTCTAATAAAAACTATTATTTTATTCAAATTACAGTGTATTTGATTTGTAATCGTTTGATATGGGGTTTCATAAAGTAAAAAGTATTTGGTGGGTGTTCCGTTGTCTTAAAAGTTATGTTAAAATTATGTTTTATACCCAAAATCATTGCAAATAAAATAATAATAATAATTATTATTAAGAAACCCCTGATATAGACTATAATCTCAGATGAATACATTTGTCATAATTCATATAGGTAAAGATACAGGTTCCCGTTACAATGTTAAATACTAATCCGGCATACATACATACTAGACTAAAAGCATAAGCTAAAAGCTTTATTCACGAGCACCCTATTTTGATAGGGTTGTCACACAAGGACGTAATAAATCAAACTTAATTTGTTTATCTGTTTTTATGACGTAATCAAGTTTACGTTAGGGATGTCGCGAGCAAAGTTAGTCAGTTAGTAATGTATGTTTAATAATAACTTTCAAGGGTGAATACAAAACTAAGATAACATATATAATTTAACGTTGAGCAACTGAAGAAATAAAATTAGTAATGACGCAAAAATAAATCGAGAAATATCCATATATAAATGATTAGTGATCCGGGACGGCATAGCACAAGTAGGTACCATACGGGTCATTACCTAATGAAGCTTTCTATAGATGAAAAAAATTTTGAAATCGGTGAAGTAGTTTTTGATTAGCCGTTATAAACAAACAATCAAATCTTTCCTCTTAATAATATTAGTAAAGATAAAAATTATTCATGCCACAATCTACTGGAGGAAGGTATAATTATATTGAGTCCAACTAAGAAAATTCTTTTTAAAGTCTAAGAGCTAAGAACTAAGAAAAGTTGAGTTTTCAATACTATAAAATCAGATAATTTACTATTTATTTTTATCACTCATTTACAGGGGTAGAAGGGATTGTCAGTAGCAAGGTCCAAGTCCCATTCCTAAAAAATGCTAGGTCTATCTCCTCGTGATACCCCATTTAATATTTAATTTTTTATACGTATTATTCCTCTTCGCAATTTTTGTCGTTCTTTGAAAAGAAGAATAAAGCTTTAATTCATTCGTTCACTATGAGGAGTTGTTTTTTTTTTATACAACTTAGAATACCAAACAAGCTGACGGCCCACCTGATGGAAAAGTGGCAACCGTCGCCTATAGACATGGGCAGTACCATGGACATAACAGAGTATACTGTTTTGCCCATGATACCCCCCATGCGTTGCCATTCCTGAGAACTCAGATGTTATTCCTCCGTATCCAGTAAATTCACGCCATATCCCACCCTTCAAACCCTTCATTGACAGCTCCTACAGAAAGATTCTGTCATATAAGCCATCAATTCAAGTCTTGTACATAGATTATTGTGTACAGGTAAGTTATTCATACTCATATAAATTAAAGCGTTATTTACATTTAGAATTGTACATTTTTAAGAATGATCTAATTAAATAAATAATAATAAATAAATAATAATAAATAAATAAAGGCTTTATTATTATTATAATTATAATCCTATTAACAAAATAAATGCGAAAGTTTGTAATGATAGATGGATGGATGTTTGTTTCCCTTTCACGCAAAAACTACTGAACGGATTTGAGTGATACACGGGTAATTAGATACACGGGTAGGTTACATTCTACCTTACCACCTAGAAATACTTTATATACCGATTCACGCAGACGACGCCGCGGGATACAGCTAGTCATAAACAAATCACAAAAGTTTCAACATACGTCATGAGTTTCACATTCGTTTCGTGTTTACAACCAACCAAACCAAATTATTCTAAGCTGTATACAATATTCATCGCGCGTGTTAATATATTTTCCGACTGAAAATATAGTCCTTTTGGCAGGGTTGAAATCAAATGCCCGCCGCCGACGTCCCTGTTATTACGTATTATGTTAATACAATATACACTATACACATATAGTGTAATATTATATGAGAGAGACATGCCTCTTTCTGCACATAATCCTTGAGCTACTTGGCGTTGTTTCGCTTTATTGCCCTTTCTTCTGCTTCTTTTAATTTGTCATTTTAATAATAGAACCTTCTTTTTTTAGGTATTTTAATTTAAAAACTAAACTAAACTTGAATTGAACCGAGCGTTCCAAATCGGTTTGTATATGACGTAATTATGAAGAATATGAAGAAAGTAAAAAAATATAATCAAAGTGAGTATTTCCTCCTTTTTCGAAGTCGGTTGAAAAGATTTAATATACCGCTCTTATGTTTTTTTATACAACTTAGAATGGCAAACAAGCTGACGGCCCACCTGATAGAAAGTGGTAACCGTCGCTTATAGACATGAGCAGTACCACGGACACAACAGAGTATATTGTTTCGCCCATGATACCCCCCCATGCGTCGCCATTCCTGAGGACTCAGGTGTTATTCCTCTATACCCTGTAAATTCACGCCATATCTCACCCTTTAAACCGAAACACAGCCATGCAAACACAACTGCTTTATGGTTGAAACACGAATGGGACACAGGTACCTAAGCAAACGACTTTTGTACAGTCTCCCTCTGGTAAAATCAAATAAAAACTATGTGTACAGCGCTTTTCATTTGTTTTTTTTTTTCTAAATACTG